GAATCTCGAAACTTTGGTACAGTACGAAATTTCAATCATTGATCTTAATCAACTACAAATATATTCCATTCATTTAAACCTTGATAAATAAGCATGCTAGTCATTGCACAAATATCCAACACTCTTCTGTTACTAAATGGAAATTATAAGTTGACCACAGAATCAACATCCGTTTGCACTTACTATCAGGGAACCATGTTCAACTACCAATAAACAAACATATGTTAAGAGATAATGCATGTTTAGGAATGGATGATTGGTTAAGCTTTATACTTGTGTATAGATTAACAACTTGATATACTAGAAAAAGATATACCACATAATTTGCAGGGAGATTCCTCATCCTCTGCTGCATAATAAAAAAATGCAGCTTCTCATTAACCAGAAGCCTTTGGGCCAGCAAATATAAGCTTCCTTTGTAACACCCCGATTAGTCCCACATCAAAAGTGAGTAAGACTAAGATTGGCTTATAAGAGTCTGATGAGTGTACTATCAACCTTAACTTAAATAATTTGGCTAGTGGTTTAGGCCAAACGAAGTTTATAAGCTAACTAACCCATCAGGCCTGGATCGTAACATTTGGTATCAAAGCCAACCTAGTATTTGGGCACGATGAGAGGATTCGAATAAGAAAGGACTACCTGGATGGAGTCAGAAGACTCGTCATAGTGTGGAGCCACCACTAGGCTACACCTCACATGTGGTTTGATCTGGGCTATGCTAGGCCTTGACGAAAACATCAAGCCCTTGAGTGGGGGAAATTGTAGCACCCCAATTAGTACCACATCAGAAATGAGCAAGATTAAGATTGGCTTATAAGGGTCAGATGAGTGTACTACTATCAATTTCAGCTTAAACATTTTGGCTTGTGGTCTGGACCAAACGAAACTAATAGGCCAATTAACCCATTAGGCCTGGGTCGTGACACCCTTGTTTGTAAGCATACATATGAGATGATATTCAAAACTTGGTACGCTAATTAGTTTTAGATTCAGACTTTGTATTTATCTTGTAGTTATTACAAGCTCACTCGCCTAGCTGTGACCCAAAAAACTTGAAATTCAAAGCCTATCTTCATTCACTAATAGAACTTAAGGCATACATAATATCCTCACAAATAGAAACTTAACATATGCATGTTTAGCTCATCCATATGCAGACCCAGAACGACAATAATAACAATGTGGGTGTGTGTGCACTACATGCCAGTCCATCCCTAACCAAACTTCTAGTAGTGGCATGGGCAGTAAATTAGCCTACCAAGCCAGACCTTTGCATGAACAATCTAGGACAGGTGTCATGGCATGCATGTTAAAATGATAGATACAATGCTGTGTCATTATATGCAGCAGCATCGCAACATATATGCAAGTGAAAAACAATCTTAGACACTAGTACATCTGATCGGCTTCAAGTTATTAAATGCATTTAAGATTATGCAAGTGAAAACATCTACAAAATTGCACATGCACAAATTTACACAAGTTTCGCATATACATATCTTATTCCAAATTTAAATACATTTAAAACTTTTCATCCACTAAACATCCCAATAAGACACCATTTGATGTCAGAAAAGTTCCATTCTTATCAATTTAGGTGTTTCGCTCCATTCTAGACTTACACAGATGAAGTTAGTTTTGCTTTTGAACTAGGAAATGGTACTATTGACTTGCTAAATTGCAGAAAATGTAGGAAGAATTGGATGAAGTTAGTTTCGCTCCATTTCATGTGTCCAAACTCATGCCATTGAGTAACACATCTGCCAATGGTATAAATACAACATAAGCATAATGACAGTAAAACGCACTATGCCTTGAGATTCATTTATGCCAAATCCAAAAAGTACAGTTTCATCATGAATTCTTATCATAATCTTTTAAATGTTTGTTCCAGTTATTTATTAGATACTTTGAGCACTTGAAATATTGAAGATGCCAGTTACCAAAACCTTTGGCAGTATGAATTCACAATTCATAGGCTGACATATTTAAATTGTTGATTAACCAAAAACTTGGAACCATACTGAATTTACAATTCATAAGCTTCTGGATTGAAATATATAGGAGCAGAAATTAAGGTAAAGCATCAAGAGCAAATGAGAATATCCTTACAACTAAACTAGGCAAATCCAGCTTATCAGCCTCATTAATCAGAATCATTGTGGCCAGCCCACAGAATGTGTACCTTTAAGAAAAAGGAACATTGAGGGCTTGTAAATAATTCTTTTTCAGAAACTTTGAACCCAACAATGACAAAGCAAAAATAGTAATTGTTTAAAGAAAACATACCCCCCATGAGCTTCTGAACCAGGCTCCCCAGCAATACCACCTTCATATGTTTGACAGCTGAAATTAACAAAATTTTGATCGCCAACTACATTTCAATATGCCGGGGGCAAACAGTAGTAGAAAAAACAAGAAAAGGGTTTGTAGTGAATATGAAACTGGTAAAATATTTCATTGTAGTTTACATGCGACAATATTAATTGTGCATCACAATACTCATGATTAAAAAACAATGACTTTTTCATAAAGCCTTTGTAATTTAGGAGGTCTACATGTGCTAGATCCTGAGATAATAATACACTCTGAAAATAAAAACTGAAATGCAAAAGGCCATTGCCTTTAGTAGCTACTCTTCAGAATGGCTCATTTACCCAGTGTAACAGAGACCAAAGCGCTCATAACTCATAGCTTCCTTTGCTGCTAAAACTTCTACCTCTAGTCAATAATGTAGTTCTGCTTGTTTAAAAGGTCAAGCACCACTGTCTCGCAGAAGTTCATTGAAATTGTAAAATCAAAAGCATTTAGAATTTAAATGTAACCTGTTATTGATGCTTAGAGACCACTGCTAAAAGTTTCTTATAGCATATCAACTATTTTGATTAAATATCTCAAAGTTTTCTAAGATCTGGTATCGGTTTGCTAGCATGATTGATGACATGATTGAAGAATGAAGGCTTACGACCATGTCCAAGAAGCATCCACATTTCATTTCTTGGATGCTTTAGGCTTTCATCATTTGTGGCCTCTATGGTAATATTAAGGGGCACAAAAGCTATGCGGAAAGCTCAGTCGATACTGTAAAACCCTAAAAGAAACCCCCATTGTGTGCACCATCATATAAAGGCAATGAAATTTTTTTTATGCTATATATTATTGAAAATTTAAGTTATAGGAGGCCTCAAATTCTCAAAATTTCCAGTTATAGGGACCAACCTCAAAATATAATTTCCAAGATCTGTTACCAGCTCATCATCCAGAACATTGAGAATACTAGCAACCTGGTTTCACAAAGAATTGAAGCAACTTAAATAAAATGGAGTAAAATGACAAACATGCTTCGCTCATCACATTCTTCCAGCTTCTAGCATATATTAACAGAAATATGAACAAGAGGGGGAACTAACCGATATTGCCGTATAGCAAGCACGAACATCAATTTCACCGCCATTATGCATTCTGAGAAAATTAAAAAATGTGTATCACTAGAAAACCAAAATCATCAGTAAAACCTTCATATATTCCAGTGAAGCAAACAGCAGGTAAAACTGTTCATTGCATAAGAAAAGAGGATCCATTTATATGATAATCTGATAAAAAAAGTGACCGGATAGACAGTTCATCTTAAAAGGATATATAATGTGTCCCACAAGTTCAGCATGTTTCCTGGACTAATATGTTATTAGAATGTGCATGAGATACAGTTCAGTTAAGCTCCAATACATTTAGGCCAAGGCCTTACATGGATGTCTGTCCATTGTTTCGCTAAAACTTTGGAAAACATAACATCAGAATATCAGACTCTAAAACTACAAGACAACAATGGTTTAAGTCATCTCAAAACTATCTCAAAAGAGAACCTAGATACAATGGAAACAATCTAAAAATATATTGAGAAATTTCTTTAATCTGACTCATTTACAACTACCCGTATAATTTGATTTCCACCAACCAGGGCAACTTGAAAAGAAGTTTTGAAATAAGTAGTTAATAGATTGTCGAAGCACCACACGAAAAGGTCAGAACATTATAGGGGCAACCCAAAGCATATAAGTAGAACCAACAAGGATATAAAGTCCTGATTCAATGGGGTAAAATCTATGAGAGTGGATGGATACAGGGATACATCTGCCATTTCTTGATGTCCAATAGATGTAAAGCAACACTATGTCTGAAGATCAGTAACAAGTTCTCCTTGAGTAAGAAAGACCCTACTTTCTAGTGTTGCTCACAACCACTTTCCAATGTTGCTAGCAGCCTTTGATTTTTCATATCGTCTGAAACCCAGGAATTCAATCAACAAAGATGCTAGATATCCACATGTCCAATTAATTACTACCATAGTCCTTAACAACATAGTTCATCTCAGCAAATTTACAAATAAAATCATGAAAAGATATGGAAAACCATTAATCATCAATGTGCTATAAACCATAAGAAATGTTGTAAATGAATGACATGGAAATTTTAGATACTAATAACCTCCGTTGTATCATGTAACCATGTAAAAATAACGTCAAGCAACACATACTTATACCTAATATGTTAATGCAGATCCTTGCATACAATATCTCTTTAACACTAGGTCCCACTTTATAATTAATGGTACCAATATCTTTATTTGATCTCTCCAAGAAGAAGGTAACACATGTTGATGTATCAAGCAACACATTAATTATGTCAAGCAACACATGTTGATGTAACCTCCCTGAGAAGAAGCTCACAATTGCTAAGACTGCATTTTGCATTCACATATGTATGTAAGATCCCACTTTATAGCTATATCACTTTGATAGCCTGTAACTTCAATCAGATGATAAGTTTTTGCTCTCTATTAAGTGAAAGAACTTGTAAATATGCAAGAGGCTAATGTAAGTGCTATTAGTATGTTGAACACATTGAAAAGACTACAAGAAGTGCGATATTAGGCTGGCCCCATTAAAAATACAGCTAAAAATCAGTAGGTTCATATAACTAACCCAGACTGGTCAACTAAATAATCAAGCTCCCAAGCAAAACCAACTTGTGATGCAGACTACAGATCATGATATAGCTAACGATCAGTAGGTCTATGTGACTAACCCAGATTGGTGAACTAAATAATCAAGCTCCCAACACAAAACCAACTTGTGATGTAGACTGCAGATCATGATTCACGATTGAAGTATATTCTAAAAATATACATGCTCTTTGATAATTACGATTATAAAGACTATGTCCCCACAGTCTGCATGGTACCAATAGATATAGTGCACCACAATACTCGGGCGATAGAGATTGAGTAAATCACATAATTCAAATATCTTAAACATATAACATCAGAGTTTAAATTAATTGGATGTTCTTATAAAGAGAAAACAAATTTGAATATAAAGGCCATTAAGCAATCCATTTTGTGCATTTATCATGTCATGTAAAATCCAAAGACAATCTCTTTTGATGCTAAAAACACATATATAACACTTTAATGTACAGGTTCAACAATGAACAAGCAATATAGTTTACAACAATACTTAGGAGAGAGAGTTTGGGTGCCTAAACTACTTGATCCAGACACTGTAAATCACATAACAACAAGACAATTCTTTTAGATTCATCTCAATTCATATAATCGGAATTAACAGTAGAGGATGCTATATCATTTTGCATATTCTTCCTTTCCTGTAAAGTCCATGTTGTTGGCACCATATTTTTGACACTTCAGTCTCAACATATACAATCCAATCATTGAATCTGTGTACATGATTGAGATAAATATACGTACAAAGGTGTTACTAGCATAACATAAAATAGCATCCAGAAGTGAAATGTTGACTTAGCAGGGGCTTTTTAAGACAAGACATTGGAACAATAAGAAAAACTATGATTACTCGATTCATAGTCCAATTATTTCTTAGGCATAAATCCGTCACATATATTACTTGCATACATCCAAGTATGATTGTGAGAAATTATAAATGAATTAAACCTGAATGCACCTGAAGAATCTTTCATCTGCAGCAAAAACTTGAGCATATTTTCTCTGAGCACTCAAAAGATATTGAATCATGTAAGATTCTATTCAAATGACAAATTCAAACAAAAAAGCGACTAAAGATGCAGAGTTAGATCAGTGACCTATGTATAGATGACAACGACATCTCGCCTCCCAAAGTAATAAGTGTGTTAACAGCAGCATAAGTTGTTGCAAGATGAGGCATCTAACAGAGCAACAGATTTAGTAAATGTCAGAAATTCTAAAACAATATGATGATGCTGAAAATAGAAATTTGCACATGAACTTATTACAAATATAACCAAAAGATCAACGATGAGTCTCAGAAATTGTAACAATGAGTCATCTGTTTCAAATTCACCTCATACAAAGAAACAGTGACCAATTGGCTAAAGATTGCCTAAAAATCAACTGAGTCAAATCTCACTAATAACTAATAAATTGTTGTGGGGCAAAATTTTCTCCTTGACCCTGTAGTCTTATGCTAATAGAGTTTGTGAGATTTAATTGATACATTGTGGAGCAACGTGGAAGCCATAAAGTTCCCTACACTTTCTTTAATTTCAGGTACATTATGGACAACATCCTCGCCCAACCTCAACGCGTGAAGACGAGAAGAAAGATGGAATAAAGCTGAAAGATGTGGCCCTGCAATAGGATCCAAGCCCGTCCCTTAGGGATAATGTGAGTTTGAAGCACAGTGAGTTGTTTTCCTTTTTTTAAGTCCTCTTATTGTCATAAACAAAGCTGGGAGAGTCCTTAAACTATTAGAATTGATGTTCAGAAAATTTTAGACCTTTCTTCAGATAGATTTATATGGGATTCCAAAATTTCAAAAAACTCTTCCATACATTATCTAAAATACTATACAAATCCTCTCTTTTCTCTCTTTCACCCTTGGGAGGCCAACTATCCTTGAACTGAAGAATAAACTGACAAGAGAATCACATCCTATCACTTTCAATCCCTATGTCACCACAGTCTTCTACACCTATCTTCTCTTGAGTCACAGCTTCCTATGCTAAGTTGCTATTAAGATATTTTCATGAATAGAGAGATTCACACAATATTCAGTACTTTCCAGACATTATATGCTCGCAGGCATAAACAAATTATTTTCTCCAGTGCAACTTATAACGTAGTTTATCCAATCACACGTATGCTTAGCATACGTTGATTGCTTAGGACGTTACCAGTGATTGTACACACGACAAACTGTCACAGAGCCAAAGGCAAGTTTTAATAAAAGAAGCAATTAAAATAAGAAAGAACAAACCTGCCCTGGTCCACCACCATATCCACCATTTTTGTCCTGTGGGATTGCAACAAAAACAATTTCAATTCATACTTCAAAAGTAATTAAATCATCCACAATGACAACTCTCCAAGGACATTGCGCATCACACTAAACAAGGCATGGAACTAGACAAGTTAAACATCACCATAACAATCAGATTATAGTAAGCTAATTAATATTTCACCAACCATTAAATTGTAGTTGTACATAGCTACCAAAGAATTTAATACCATTAACTGAATATTAGAGCCAATATAGGAAAAAAAAAATCTAAAAAGGAAAAGTACACTAGCATATAACAGGTTTAGATTCTGCAGAACCTAAAAAAGAAACTACAATTTCCCATACTAAGGAAGTGTAAACTGAGATTCTAAAGGGTGTAGTTTGGTGAAAATCTACAGAATGAACACTTCTAGAAGACAATTGCAGATTTAATATTTCCTTTTCTGAGATTAAAGTACCAAATAAAAAGGTATCAATATTACTTATACTGAAGGCACGAATGGGTAAAGAAAATTTTCTTTTAGGATTTGCTAATTATAGCATGGAAATAAGAAGATATTAGATGAGATACAAGAGAAAAACAAGGGAGAAATACAATACTCTGGCTCAAGGATAAACTTCAAGAAATGTGTGCGTCGTATCTCCGTACATCTCACATGTGGACAGTGCAATCACACCAACCAGAAAAAGAATATGGTGCCACACCAACCACCGTATCACACAATGTGGGGAAATACATGTTCATTCGTTCAGCCATGTTTCTAATCCAATTCTTTCCTTCTTTAAATAGACCCACCACTAGAAAAAGAAAAGGAAAATTTATATTTTAAGAAATCATATTCCTTCATTTAAGATCAATAAATCATCCTTACATAGGTTCAGGACATCCTCCATCAGCAAGATATTCGGTTGGGATTAGTTTTCTTTCCTGCAAAGTTATCTTCAAAATCAAATATATCTTCTCAATTTTCTTCTTCCTTTTCTTCATCTTGGACTATCTTGGTTGGTGAAGTAGACTTACATAAGATAATACCATGTTGCAACTTGTTACATTTATAAAAACCCCATAAATTATCAAAAATATTCTAAATACAAGTTAGACAAAATAGCTCCTGCATCATGCTTTACAAATAAGAATTCTTGGGGATCATAATCAATGGCATTGATACATAAAAACTAAAGAAATGAAGGCAATGTGCCAAAAAGGAAGGCTTTGAATAGAATTTAGACCTCACAATGGGACAAAAATTGCACCACATTGTCTTCAAGTTCTGAGTTGACAGATTCTCCCATTAAAGTGATTGAGTGAATAATCCAATAGCATAGCCAAGGACGACTGCACTTATCAATTACAAAATAATCCAAATCGATATAATAAGAAATAAAAGCCATAAATTCTACTTAAAGATAAAATGGCTATGTAAAAAACACATTCATATATATATTACCAAAAATCTTACTTGGCATCTAGCACATGATAGTTTGGTCCAAGTTGCTTGAGCCCTCTTGTTAGAAATTCAATGTGTTTGTCACGCCAAAGTTCTAGCCTGCACATCTACTGATTTAGTTAAAAGGTTCAACCAAACTTTTTTTAGACTAAAAGATCAATGAAGCACATTCAAATGGAAGAAACAAACCTTGAAGAATGCAAAAGATTGATAAGCATTAAACAAGCATCGATTTCCTTTAAAAAGAAAAAAAGATGGCCATCCTCAATTTACTTAAATAAAAAAGGAATGAGCAGAAAAGGAGGCAGAACCATTATGTACATTAAAGTGTGCCAATTCTCTTTAGAATATTTACATTACAAGTAAGTCATATACACACAACACATACTCATAATTAATTCCATTCTCATCTCTTCCATTTCCATCAAGTAAATCACAGCAGATAAGTGGATTTCAGGTGTACAAGCAGTTTTCTTGGGAAGCATGAAAATTTTCAAATAAAGGCAGATCATGTTACAGGCAGGTGATACAAATTTCTTTTGTTTGCAGGTGAGCTTCGTGTCAAGCACTGGCAATGAGAAGCTAAATTTACTAAAAATGTCTATGGAGTCTATTAGCACGATTTCTCCAAACCTTTAATACAAACAGAGGACAACTACATTGATTAATTTCCATCTCATTATGATATAAATCGTTGCCAACAAGATGCCTTTGGTTATTTGTGTCAGTATTCTGGAATATAAAAGGCTAAATAGAATAATAATGTTGGTATTACTATTATGATTCCTAGATTATATATATACACGCACCATTTGATTGGCCAAGAACACAATCCTAGTGAGCTTGTCTCATCGAATCAGGAAAGGAGGAGGTCTTTACCTCATAAATTTTGACTTTCCATTCTTGTAGTTCAAATTTCTTCCCTCGCAGACAACCCTACCATTTTGCAAAGTTTCTCTAATTATATTTAACTTTAAGAACATGCATAATGTGAACTGCCTTTGCCTATGTCCATTGCTATTTCTTATGCACATACCATTTTCTCGTTAATAAATCTCGAACACCAGAAGGCACCACAATTTCCTATTTCGCGTAAGTGGAACTAACTCAACGAGAATAATCTAACTAGTCAGTTTCCGAGCAAGAAATACGGCGAAATCGTCTCTTGTAGCTGTTCAGCGTGCGAGGGTTAAAGACTCAGCAGCGGCTGCACTTTCTCGAACAATCAGACCCGTCGGAGAAGAAAATATTCGACATCGACAGGAACGAAATTAGGGTTTCCCAGGAGTGATCGACAGGGGAGGGCTTACGTGAAGGACCGGGTGTGGGGGGCGACGCCATGGAAGAGGCGGTAGATCCCGTAGACCTCCTGCTCCACCCTGAGCTGTTCCAGCTGCGTCGTGGTGAGCCTCCCTTGCCGGTCGGAGGGAGACGGCGGCGGGGAGACGGAGGAGGAGGAGGAGGAGGAGGAGGAGGAGCGGTTGGGCGAAGACCCCATGGGAGTGGAGCTACCGCTTCTTGGAAGACCGGAGGAGGAACAACGACCGGCGGCGGCGGCAGCTTCTCTCCTCGCTTCTCGCCTAGTGGTAGTAGTACGAATCCGGCGATCTTTTGTTTTGGGTGCTGCGCTGCGTCGGTGGGCGATGCGGAGCGGCATCACACCCGCTTTTGCTTTGCCTTTTGCTTGATGCCGGGTTTGATACCTCGCATAAAAAGAAGATGACCGCATAATTTCTTTGTGAGTTTTTTCTATTTTATATTTGTACATTTTAATATTATATCCCTCCAACTATATTCAAAATCCTCCGTATATAAACATATACATATATACAAAAATAAAACTTTATAAAAATTAAAATTTTAACTATCAAAATCCTCCAACTATATCAAACTTTGTATAGTCAATCTTTCGATGCCATAATCATTTTCCAAACGAACTATCTTTGAATGATGAATCTAAATTAGTTGCATATAATTATAATACTATTTGTTTCCATTGAAATTCAAGGTTAGGGTTTGTTAATGTTGGAGCGTAATATTTATTTCCGAACTTGCTAATTTATATTAATAATAGATATAGAGTGTTTTAGATATCTTTATTTAAAATAAATGCATTGAGCATGAGGAATGTTTTGCTCGACTCGGATGCATCAAGCCCTTTGGTGCATATGGTTTGGATGAACGCATCACATGCAAGGAGATAATTTGCTTGTTTATGGCTCATCAAATTCATTATATTATATTTCCGAACGAATGTATCATATGCGTAGGAAGGCTTTTTCTAACTAAGGTGCAACAAACACTTCAATACTTACTTTAGACGTCTGATCATTTTCTAATTTGCTTGAACCTTACAGATTATTTATATCACAAAGCGGGATTCAAAGTAACGAAATAGACCATGATGACATTTCTTATGGTGATTTTAATAGCTCATTATGTCTTCTATCTTATTTTGTGGTCACAGAAATGGATTTGTCATTAATTTACCTAAGATGGATGGATTGGATCAATGCTTAGTAACATTTTTTATGTTGATCATTCACACTCTTAGCTTAATAACAGTATATCAAATTAATTAATTAATTATTTATTTTTTATATGGACGCTGCTATTTTATTGGATCCGATTAACTATCCCAGCCACAAGTGCCATTGCAACCTTATAAGCTTATCGGATTCGGATTCAGGTTCGAATTCGAATTCGAGTTGCGGTCGTCCGTCTTGCACACGGCCACGCGACCCGATGCTCTTCTCACGACGGCTATTTAAACCCACAGCCCACCCCGAGCTTTCATCATTTCCACTGTTCTGCTCTCGGCGAAAAATCCACCTAAAACCCTTGTATGCCCTCCAAACCCTAATTCTACGATTCGCGCGTCGTGCTTTCTCCCAGTTCCATCGTCTTCTTCTGCATTACTTTGGCTTGATTAATCGTTCGGGTTCTTCACGCGAATCTGTAACTCGTGGATGGATATCTCCTGCAATTTGTTCTTTCTTCCCGAGTTTAATTGGCATTGCCAACTTCGGCACTTGATTTGATCGGATTTTTCTTTTTGTCGTGCGGTACACCGTAGGTAAACTGATGGCGACTTGTATTCTTCGAGATATCTGATTTCTTTATCAGGATTTCGGTCTCAGTGATCCCAGATCGAACATAATCGAAGAATGGTGCGAAGAACAGTTTTGTTTTTTTTTTCCTTGATTTCATTTTTCGGCGATCTTTGCGGAATGTGCTTGCATAAGACTAGATCGTCTTAAGGTGTCAATCGACCTTAAATGATTGAAGTGTTTATGGTAGCGCAGATGGATAATGCTAATTCTTATAATAATAAGCATGCGATCTGTGTATCCCCTGCATGACTGGATTTCCTACCGGTCATTGCATAAAATTGCAAATCCGTTCAAGTAATGGTTCGGTCGTTTGATGGAAATGGCTGAATCAGAGCCCGCCGTGAGAATATGGAATTTATTAAGGTTAATCGGCTTAGGTCTGGTATCATCGGCATATGCTCACAACGAAGGCGGTGAGTTCAAAGATAGGACTCCATAAGGAGCACCCCTCTAGACACCAGGTTCTTCGCATGCTTCTAGCAGAAATTTTGGTGGGAGATGAAACTGGCATGATTGTCTTCACAGCCAGAAATGAGCAAGGTAGTTATATGGAAGGGCATTTTATTAAGATATGGTTTGATGGATGAGATTCAGTAACTCCACATGGATATTTGCACATACAATGCATGTGTCATAAGCTTCCATTGTATCATGATGACATCCGTTTCTAGTTCATAGCTTATGGTCTTTACAGTTTCAATGTGTGTATATATTTACAGTGAACGTGATGACTTAATACTTCACTTTGAAGCTGAGAAAGTAAAAAATAACTGTTAAGCAACAAGAAAAGAAGCGTGAGACACTTGACATAGTGTTGTTGATGCATTTGGTTTAATAATTTTTGTTTATATATTCCATTTTGCCAAACTATAATGATAAGTTTTGTTGGAGCTGTTTCATGGCGGGTATCATTAATTATCATTCAAGAAATGAAGAGGAATATTGGTGAGGGGACCTCTAGTTCTGATAGCTTGCTAAGTGTGGGGTCTAATTCATGCACCAGTTTTTAATAAGTTTAGTTAGATTTATCACATGGAAGGTCAGCATGAGATATTTGGAAAACATGTGGATTTTAACTTGATAATGGAAGTGGTACTTGCAGAATCTTTAGAAATGAGATGATGTAAAGATCTTACATAAACACTATTTCATGATACGAATTTGTCTTGAATGTCATTATGACATCATACAGATTGTTCTTATATGCTGCACTTTTTTGAAGATGATACCCAGCTTTCTGTTGCCTCTGGCTTCATTCTGTTGTAATAATTTTCCCTAGATTATTTAGGTTTTTTAGATTTCAACATCTTTTTTTCTGCTATAATTTCTTTTGTTTGCATCAAATTTTCCTATGATTATTTTATCAACTCCCATTTTTAAATTTGAGCATTGATAACTTCTTTATGGCACTAATATGGGATAGCTTTGCTACAGACAAAATTGATCACTTTGATAATTGGCAGCAACTGCTTCTAAGAGACCTATGATTAGACATTTTATGCCAAACCAGAATATGACTCAGTTAGTTGGCATGACCTTGTGCATCTTCTTGGTATATATAGGATCCTAACTGGAACACAGAGTCTATATAACTTGGTCACTTTTCCTAGAAAAGGATTATGGGAAAATAGTATATACAAATCTGAAAACTGTGTTATTTTTGTTTAATTCTGTAGCTTACAGCTTAGGATATTGGGAGTACTAGTCTTGGATCATCAGGTGGAAGTTATAACAAAGCATGCAAATCAATTTCGATGCATCATTTATAATAAAGGATATAAGCCTGGATGTAATACTTTCTCTAAGTTTCGGTACTTTACCTTGTTTACTATATCAACAGTTTATAACAAAACATGCAAGTCTATTTCTATGCATCATTTATAATAAAGGATATAAGCCTGGATGTAATACTTTCTCTAAGTTTCGGTACTTTAACTTTGTTTACTATATCAACAGTTTAGATTTTCTTATTCTCGTTTTGAAGTTTTCAATTTTAAGCTTGCTTTTGAGCATAATGCTCAATTTTGGGGATTCACTAGGGAACTTTTTATGCTAGTATTGCCATTGATGTGAAATTCCTAGTCTGATAGAATATTTCACTCAGGCCTATGTTTTCAAATCCATGTAACATCTGGAATACAAGCAGATGGTTATGCTATCTTAAATATGAGAGTCTAGGGAATGTAAAAATGACAAGATCAATTTGATGTTATTCTTATGATGCATTTAATATTTTAGAACATTTGAGGTCATAGACATGCCAGTAGGGCTGCCGAAGGTCTATGCCTTAGTTGACTGTTGAGGAAGGGACTCACAAATACAATTGTCTATAAACCTAGGAATAAGAATTAAGATGGGAGGTGAATAGAAAGGGATAACTATTAAATGTATTTAAATATCTACTCTGATATAGCGATTCAAGAAGGAATTGAAATATGTTTAACTGACTGTCAGTTGATGGGCGAACAATAAAGCTGCTGATTAAGATTTAATCTCTCTTTGCCAGCTATGATCATCCATCAAGCAGAAAAGCATGCTGCAGTTAAAAGGCATGTATGATTGATGATGTCTGATTTATAAGGTGGAAATCTCCAATTGTTGATCATGCCTTTTAAAAATGGATTTGAAATATTTGTGAACTAGTATCAAATAAAGACAACGGATAATATTGTTATGAAATAAGCGATGACAGGGTAGAAATTCTTTTTTATCTGTTTCAGTTTTCTTTCAGACCTGTAATTGGGTTAGCTACGTCTTAGACATCCTTTGCCTGATATTCGTTGAGTCATGTATGCTGTTATTGGAGTACTTAATTTGGAAATTTGTAAACACAGTGGATTTATGATGACAGATACAGCTGTAATACTTGAGAATGCAAAGATTAACATGTCTGAAGGATCAATGAGGCTTGCTATCAACAAATGAGGCTGTATATAATCACAGATCCAGCCGATTTCATGGTGAAAGAGGACAATAATGTCTTTGATCGAATATGTGTTGATGACCATCGTTGAAGGGTGTCTGAAAACTGGCTGTTCTTAGGCGTGGCTTCCTGAAATGATTTTGGTATGGTTTCTCTTATTTTTCAGATGTTTTGTCTCAAGTTGCTTAGTTGGTCATTTTAAGGCAGAAGTTAATTTTGGTATGATTATGGGCAAGCTACCTTCTGGAGATGATATAAACTTGTCGACATGGCATAGCTCATTCCAATAGCGAAGTTGGTGAGAAGTGGGTAATTATTTAATATCATCATCTAGAACTGCCATATTTTTGAATATTTGTATCAGTTTATATATGAGTTTTAATATTCACACATCATCAATCTATTTCTTGCATCCTAGTTAAATTCTATGGGTTTGTTCTTACAGTTGTTCTTCTGTGCTTAATTATTTGCAGTGGCTGCTTTGGTTTACTTGAATCAACTACCTTAGGTATCATATTTATATTTTAAAGATTGGTGAGGTTTTCAATGATCTAGGCAGTCATTTTAGTGTCACTGAGATATTAATAGAAACTCCCTTAATATATATACTATGCTGTTGGGTTCAATTTTAACTCCCCCAATAAATATGCAGTTTGTCTTTCTCGTTAATTTGCTCATATATTTTATCACATCTTGGATTTTTTTTTTTTTCATATTTTTTCATATATTCAGAGCTAAGTAGATAAACATCATTTTATTCATCATTTATAAATATTTATTATAATTCATTTATTCATCAAATTATAAGTAGAAAAGTAAACATAGTGACGTTAACTTCAAGAATCATCCAAGTGGCTCTACTTATCGGTAGAGTTATCGGTAGAGGAAGGTCCGCTCTCCATTGGAATCCGATTTAGTAGTAGAGGGAGGCTGCTTTGAAAATCAAAAACAAAGAAAATTCAGCAACACTGAGTATAAACCTTAAAAGTTAACTCAAAATGAATACATGATCAAAATTTAATCATCTCATTGGCGTATATCAAATATCCGAAAGAGCACTCCTCCAACAGCGGATGGAGAGATTTTATCTTACGGGATGAGTTTGTGTTCTCCCAACAGCGGATGGAGTCAAACTCATATCTTATTCCCAACAGCGGATGGAGGCAAACTCATATCCCACTCCCAACAACGAATGGAGTGGTGTTCCTCACCTGCCAAAGTGGGGACATGTTCCTCCCAACAGCGGATAAAGGAACCGTTCAATCGCCACATCTGACGGCCCGCTAATCCTCGAAGGGAATCACTCTACCTACTCTCGGCAGAGAAATAACATAATCTCACACTGGTCATGTCTATATCGGGATGAAATAACATATTTAAAACATCTTTTTCAAATATCATCAATATCAAATAATACAAATTAGCTCTCAATTGACTTGAACCTTAGTTCAATCGATCCAATTGAACTCAATTTACTAGAACCTAACTAAATTGATCTTTAATCCTCATTTAACTAGTTTTAAATCACCTTAGACTAGTATAATTTGGATTAGATTAGGTTCAATTTAGATTAAACTGACTCGAATAAGTCAATCAATTTAGATTCATCCCGAATCGATCTAGACTAATAAAGTCTAGTTTAGTTCAATCAATATTTGGGCTCAAATCCAACAACAATATTGAGCTAGATTGGGTCAGTCCATCTACTGGTCATGTGCATTACAAATGACTGGACATGCATAACATAAAACTGGCTTAGCCCAGGCCTATGGATTGGTCATGTGCGTCGCATGTGACCGCCCATGATGGTTGGGCTGGGTTAGCCTACGGGCCAAGGCCTGATCCGTGGGCTGGGACTGGCTTACAGGCTGGGCTTGGTCTACTGACTGGGCCTGGCCAGTGGGCTGTGGCCTGACCTATGGGTTGGGCATGGTCTGTGAGCAATTTCAATCCAATTTATATTCAATTTCATACCATAGCATATATTCACTAACAATTATATAAACAAAAGCATAATAACACATTAAAAAATAGATTGAGAGATAAGCTTTAATACAAGTAAATAACATTCTAAATTCAAATAGAAATCATACTTTCTAACATATGTATAATTTTAACATATTCTAGTCAAATAAAATTTTAAATCATTCAAAATAGTACATTTTAAATTTTAGATAAAAGAATATCAAAATTTAAGATAACATATTTTAATCTAATAGAAATTTTAATCCAGATGAGATTAAAGATAAGTTATAATGCCAAGAAATATCATATATTTAATACATAAAACATGTAAATTTTTAACATATTTAAATCTAAAAATAAAAACCTTAAACATGGATCAAAGAACATTATAAAAATTTCAACTGATTGGCTTTAATGCAATAATAAAAAATTTTGATATTTAAAGAATTGATAAATATTTTTCAAATTATAAAACTTTCAACATTTAAAGAATCAAAATAAAAATTAAAACTTTTATTTTCAAGAAAGGTAGGGAAACATATCTCTCGTCAACAGGGTGTAACTCCTCGTTCCTCCCGCTGCTAGGCTCGACTAAGTAAGGAATGAACGAGAGAAATCCCTCTCCTTAAATAGGAGGATGTGAGCCTCCATTAAAGGAAATTTATTTTTATTTTTATATTTATTTAATATAAATTATTTCTATTTAATATACTAACAAATATGATATCATCCTATTTGGAATGCTTAATAGTTATTCCCTAATTCGTAATAATAAACAAGAAAATATATTAAGATTTTTTAAATTACAATGACAAGTAAGGAAAAATAATAATTCCTAACTTAATTATTTGATTTGATTACATATTTAGTGACCAGTGGTTGTTGCTAGATTGAATGATGTTACATGTATATGTGGTTTACTGTCATGGTGGTCTTCTTGATGTTCCATTTGTTGCATTAATATGGAATAAGGATATGCCCATTGTTGTCATGAACCATCAACATATATACTTATGCTTTTTATATGACATTGTTGTGGTACTCAGATTGTTGTTTACTTGATGAACTTTGATAAAAAAACTACTGATATTTATCCAACAGATTTAGGATATGGTTTTTATGAATACTTCCCCTTTAGGATTTTTCATTCGCCACTCCTTTACTTTAAGAGGAGAATGACGTGCAACTTAAACAACCCAAAATTTACCACTGATCAATCAAACAAATGAGAGAAAACAAGAGAAGAAACAAATAAGATACAGGATAAAAGAAATAGAAGGCACAAATGGACATGGCAGACAAGATAAATAAATTGAGCAAAAGAAACATTAAACAGCAAATAAAAACACACAAAATAAACAAGAAAGCAAGAACATGAAGAAACAGCAACCCCTTCACCATGGTTAAGTAGCCTGCGCCAGATAAGAATCTTTCTGAATTTCCCTGAGAGATAGGCTTCTTTATTTTCCATTTATTTTGATGTTCCTTCTACATGTTGATTAATGTGTCGTCGAGTGTTTTTGTGTCCCACATGTCTTGTTACAGTTGTAAATTGTGGTATGTGGAACATTGCTGTATCCCATGACTCATTGATTGATCTAGGTTCTGTCATGTCACATTCTTGTTAGCTGTATCTCAATCCACCAGTTATGTTGTTTTTGACTGCCTCATAGATCTGTTGAGCAACAGTGATCATCCTTGATTACTTTTCGCTGTTATAGTCTTTAAGCTACACAGAATGTGGACCAGTTGGGTTAGGGTGAAGCCGAAGCCGAAGCGAACCAGGTCAGTTGGTGGGTTAAGAAGCAAATGGTATAGGAAGAAATTATTAGTTCAGGACATTGTAAGAACTGGAAAGAAGAGGGTATACTGTTGGGAGCACAAGGAGAAAATGTTGGTGTGTTAAGTGGGGTGAGTGGTGAGCAAACATTTCTTCTTCTTTTTTTCATACTACTATGGTCTTTCCTAGCTTTGCATCTCCAACTTAGTCTCTGACCTGTGGCAGCTTGTCCTTCACTGAAGTTGGAGTAATGGATGAGTCCCACCTTGGATGCTGTGATCAGATGCACATGTTGGAGGAGGTCACCTTTTAGAAGGTGGACTTCCACCTTTTAGAAGATGGAACTGCACCTTTTAGAAGGTGGAGTATCTGGGTTTGGATTTAAATGCTGTTCTCAGAGATGGGCCACTTTGAGAAGCTGGAGATCAGGGTTCAGTGACATAAGGGAATGGTTACCCTATAATGGAAATGGAAAGGAAGAAGTGAAAAAAGATAAGAATGATGACCTAGTGCTCAAGACTCATGCCAATATGTCATCTGCAAAGAATTAATGTACGTAGGTCTATCCTTGCAAGAGAAGAGACATTGTGTGATTCCGCCACCGGTCACATGGGTTATGAAGGATCAAGCTTACCATGGTCTCACAGTGATTGTGTGATCAGGTTCAAGTCATTGAAACAACTTTCTACTTGCAGGGGTAAGGCTGCATGCAATGATCCTCCTCAAATCCCATATTGTGCATTGAACCGCCTTCAGAATAAGATTTTCTTACTTCGGAAACTGAGCATCAAAAGAACCATGTTTGAACTAGTAGCACCCCTGAGAAATGTAGGATTGTAAGCCATATGAGCATCCACTACAAGTTTGCTCTTCAGGTAATAAAAATATGATTTCTTTTGTCATCTGACATAACTTTGAGATGCTACGAAGATAGGAATTGACAGTGATTCTTTTGCAATGTTCTTTTGATCATTTGTTCTTTCCTGTCTTCCATATACATAGTGCTAGTTCCAGTAGACTTTCATCGGATAAAACAGATTATTCTGGATGTGTTTTGAAAGATTAGTAGAATATAATTGAAGGTCTAGCCTTTCCATATCATAGAGACCCCTCCCATGTAAGTACTGAAATCACTCATTGAAAATTTTGATTTTTGTTCTGACTCTAGCTTGTAGCATGGAGAGCCTCCTTATGTATGGAAAAGCTTAGTTGTAGACAATTCTTGTTATTTGAACACTTCACTTGATCATCCATTACTGCTCAAGTAATTAGAGACCTTTCAAAATGTATTGAAAGGACATTTTTCATGTGGGCCATGGCATGTGAGACCTTTCAAAAGAAAAAGAACCCTTGTCATCTTCCTGGTCTGACTCAGATGTTCTACAACTAATACCAATCAGTACAGTTGAATAATGATGATCCTGCTTACTACATAGAGTTGATTATTTTCATGGACAGAGTGGCACATGGCCTCAATGATTCTTGGGATGGAATTATGCCTCATGTGCTTCTTACCCTGTCTTCCACTTGAGGCCTGATCACCCTGATGGATGACAAAATAAAATATTGCTTTGGAGAAAGTGAATGTTTTAGTATTTTTAACTACTACATAACTTTGTCCTAATAAGTTGTTCTTTGTATTGATATGCCTCAACCTGTAGTATGTGGTTGTAAGTTTAGTTTTAGTGTGTTTGGATTTCACATGCCATTATGTTTTTTTGTTGAAGCCTTACCTTGTTGACAAAAGGTTGTTCTAAGTGTTACTTTAGTTTTATAATTGATGTCATGAGTCGATCCTATTTGTCAGAATCCAAGGAACAAAAGGGACAGAAAGGGAAAAAGGAGATTAGGTCAAAGTTGAGCTGTTAAAGCTGAGTTAAAAGAGGAGTAAAAGATATGATAAGATGATTGCCAAATCACCTGTGTTGTCAGTAGACTTCTTTTTCTTGAATCTACTGTGTTGTCAGCAGAGACCTTTCTTTTTAAAGGGGCTCACGATCAATAAGGTGCTTTTTTGATGGAAGTGCTCTAAAATCCAAGAATCATTGCCTCAACCGATGGTCAAGCTGGTTTTGGGAACCCTACTCACCTACGATGACATGTCTACGGCCATCTCCTTGAGGCATCTTCTGGACCCATAGAACAGATAAGTGATCATATTGGCTGTAGGAAACAGATGAACCACTTTCAGCAAGGGTTGCTTGGGCCTCAGAAACTTGTTTTAGAACAGTGACATTTTACCAAGCAGACTTAGCCTCATTTGACACGATGACCTACAAGTGATGCATTGCATGAATTACACCTACAAAAAGAATTTTTAATCTTCATGCAGAGTAGGCACCATTGAGCACTTTAAAAGGAAGCGATCGGCCCCCCCACCCCGCCTCCAGTACCCGCTACCAAGTGTTTCTGGTTTGAAAGCTGTGCACCAAGGGCGAACAGTCTAGAATGTGTACGTGTGGCCAGGTAACAACACTGATCACTCTTCCCGTCATTATCTTTCTTTTCAGGATTTAAATCATCAAAATAATATTTCCACTTGCAGGAGGATGACTCTGTGTAAATGGCTTCTTGAATTCGATACTAATGGTAGCCCTGAACTAAGACAAGATAGTCTCTTAGTGGCTCATGGTATTTTGGATCAAATGTGGATTTTTCTTGGAAGTGAAAAAGGCTGCATTGTGCATGAAACTGCATCAGTTCTCCAGTTTCGTGTGCACCATTTTAATTATCTAAAGAATTAACTATTGACTGCAGCTACCCACGCAACGGGATCGAACGGACCCGAGCAGATTGATGATCGATGCAAAGACCAGTTAACTGAAAAAGCTGCACACGCTTAGGGGTGTCGTGGGAAGGCAGATCTTCTGGCTGATTGGGTGGATCAATCGGCGACCGTCCACGTCATGTCTCCTTCGAAGATCCAATGGCACACCTCGATCTTCCCTGGCGCGGACCCCAGTGCCACGAAGGCTCCGTGGCTGGCGCTCCAGTCCGACGTGTCCAAGTGACAGATGGCGATGCCGTGGTTGATCTTCTCCTTCGATTCGACAGCCAGGATCTCCGCCTCGTACACCCGCACCTTTGGCACCGAGTGGCAGTAGTATACTAGGTATGGGAACAAGCTCTGGTGGCATGACACCGACTTGGTGATCTTACCGCCATTCACCCCGCCCACCTTCCCTATGAGGATGTTCCCCTTGGAGCCCGTCGTGTTCGCTGTGCTCCGCACCACCACGTCGCTTCCAAGTACGGAGACAGCGAAGTCGATCACGTCCTCCGCCGAGGTGGCGCACCGCTTCGTCTCGTCGCGGTTGGGCGCCCGCTCGCACTCGGCCACCGTGTCCGCCACCGCCCTCCCCAGCGCCGTATCAGCCGGGATTCCGAAGATCCGCCGGACCTCGGTGGCGGATAACGGGATCCGCCCCGCGATCGAGCGCGGGAGGAAGGACCGCGGCGGCATCTTGTCCCGGATGTCCGGCATTGGCATCACGCTCCCCCGACGCAGGTCGCGCTCACGGAAGAATTTCCCCGGCTCCACCAGCCACCGATTCGCCGGTCTTCCGCCAGCCTTCCGGAGGGAGAGGAGAGAGCCTGTCGCGGCGGCGTCGGAGGAGGACGATGAGGGGATGACGGAGGAGTTTCTGTAGGCCTTGAAGTCGACGCCGGATTTGGCGTACGCCTTGAAGGAGGTGTTATCTGCGGCGTAGCTCTTGAACGTGACACTGTGCTTGGAGGAGCCCTCGCCATAGCCCTTGAAGGAGTCGCTGCCCTCGTTGAAGGAGTTCCCGTAGTTGACGAAGTCGGCGGCGGCGGCGTTCCCGCCCTTTGCGTAGGAGGTGAATCTGTCGTCACCGACGTTGGACTGGTCGCGGTAGCTGGTGAACCGCTCCGACCCGGAGTTGCCGCCGTCGCCGTAGGACCGGAAGTTGTTCTCCGGCACGTTCCCATTGAACCCGTAGGAGGCGAAGGAGTCGTTAGCGCCGTTGGCGCCCTCGCCGTAGCCGGCGAAGGAGGAGCCGATGACGTTGGAGTTGTCGGCGTAGCTGGTGAAGGAGGTGGGCACGCCGTTGCCGTCCTTACCGTAGCCGGCGAAGGACTGGTCTCCAGCGTTGGTGTCATCCGAGTAGCTGGAGAAGGACCGGCGCCGGCCGGTGGCATCGGCATCGTAGTTGGTGAACTTGAGGTCGGGTACGTTGGACTCGTGGTCGTAGGATGCGAAGTCTCCGGCACCGCCAGTGGCGGAGGAGCCGTAGCTGGTGAAGTTGGCGGTGACAACGTTGCCTTCGGGAGAGTAAGAGGCGAAGGAGTCGTTGTGGCCGGTGGAGTCGCGGCTGTAGCGGCGGAAGGTATCGACGGGCACGTTGAGGTCGTCGGAGTAGTTCTTGAAGGAGCTGCGCCCGCCGGCGGCGCCGGTGCCGTAGTCGGAGAAGTTGGAGTTCTGGTAGGAGGCGAACGCGGAGGAGTCGTCCTTGCGGGCGGCGGCGGAGTAGGTGTTGGCGGTGGCGGGGGAGCAGAGGAGGCGAGCTGCGGCGCAGATGGCGGGGAGACGGCGGGAGAGGGCGGAGGGGTCGGCGGCCACGAGCGACGAGAAGGTGGCGGAGTCGAGGGCGGAGAGCGGGGAGAGCTTGGCGAGGAGGAAGTCTGCCTGGGGCCGGTTGGTGGGCACCATTCGTTTCCAATACCGGATCAGGGCCGCCCTGGCAGTGAAGGGATTGGCTGCAGCGCCGCCGCTGGGTAATACATCAGAGGCCGCCACGTGGGGACGGGGAGAGAGCACTACTAAGGCAAGGAGAAGGAAGACGAGCAGAGGCGGAGTGGCGGCCATCACGGGCTTGTGGAGGGATATCTGCGTGCCAAAGAAAACCACCAAGGCAGGTATAAGTAGACGTGGGGATAAACAAAGCGCGCTTCAACTGTTTGTTCTTATGCGTGACAACTCTTTTGTTTTGACTTTGAACAGGGGTTTTCCCAGTTGGATCAAGTGAAATGGCGTCATGATAAGTCGCAGTTTCTACCCAAAGTGTACCAGGCTTTGCAGGTACACCATTTACATTTAGTTTGCTGTCTCATTTCTTTACTCAGCCCTTATTAAAAACGCTAAAAGAAGGAATTAATTGATACAAATGAAAGGTTTAAGGTGTACGTCGTAGAAGCAGGTTCCTGCAACAATGCCGATCCTGCCAGGCTTCTGCTGTAGGCATTTAAAACTATGTCAGATAAATCCATCAGGGAAAGAAAATACATACTATCCAAAAGAGCACGGAACCCTGCAACATAGTAGGTAGATACATGTTTAGGCATAACCGCATGGTTCTTGGTGTAGTTTTGCTATAGTACTAGACATTATTGACTGCCACTGCATTTAGTAGTGGCCCACGGTAGGAAATAATATAAAGACAGCGAACGTAGGTCCATCAATTCCCCCAAGTACCAGCAGTTGAAAATGATCTTGACTCGGGTCTCCACACTCGTTTCACACCGAGGAAGAAGATGGTAGGAGGTGGAGGAGGAGAAATAAAAATGACAGCAACTGCGTGTGCATGTGGCTACTCAAACTCCTCTCTCTGTTGCACCATCTTCGTTGCAAGAACTTTAAAGAGATTTCTGTCGACTTACGCACGGTGAACGATAGTACAGTTGTCGACGCACAACACTTTGGAGTCTCTATGCATGTTTGAGCTTAAATTCCAATGGCGTGGCGACCATCATAGGTCTCACCACATACCTTACGAGCTCTTTTAGATAAAAGCATTTGAAGTGGGTCTTGGTCAATGCTTGGCTTCTTGGGTATATATATATATATATATATATATGGGGTATTGAAATGGAAAGGTTGAAAGCGCGTGGAGATGGTGCTGCCTTTCTCCCACCCACCCCTCCTCGCATCACATGCGTGTAATTATCCGCCAACTTGCGGCGAATAGTGGCCACTGGGGCCGCCATCACGCTCATGTCTCTGCTTCTCATCTTCCTCCCTCTCCC